GGATATTATTTTTTGGGAGATACATGCTTTAGAGAGACATATAAAAGACTCAACAAAGAAAGACATGGTGAGTGGGTGGTATGACTCAGAGTGGGAATCTTTCAGAGGACAGAAAGGTATCTAGGCTAGTTAGTAGAGATAAAATGAATTAAAGTAATATATTTAGAAAAGAGTACACTGGGTGAAGAGACCTTGGAAAGGGGCTGTCAAAACAGTGAGAAGCTGCTGACAGACTGTAGGATGTCTTGTATTCTTTCAACTTTCAGGAGTGAGGAGCGCTACAAACACAGAGGGAGCTTAATTACAAAGGTGATGAGATCTCAGCAAAGGCTGCTCTGAGCAAGCTGCACTCTTTAGGATAATAACACCATAAGGAGAAGAACATAAAAAGAAAACTTTGCAAGTGAAAGTGTTAGTCGCTCAGTTGTGCCTGACTCTTTGCGACCCCATGGACTATAGCCTGCCAGGCTCCTCTGTCCATGGGATTCTCCAGGCAAGAATACTGGAGTGGGTTGCATTCCGTTCTCCAGGGATCTTCCTGACCAGGAATTGAACCCTGGTCTCCCACCTTGCAGGCAGATTCTTTATCATCTGAGCTATCAGGGAAGCCCATATAAGGAGAAGAACATAAAAAGAAAACTATGTGAGTGAGTAAAAGGTAACTGGAAGCTGAGCATCATGTGACTTCCTCAGCACCACCTTGAGGCTGGAATGGTTAATGACAGGAAAAGGTCATAAGAGGAGGACGAGAACTTTGTGGAGAAGGGCTAAGTTGAGACTGGTATGCTAGGGCTTCTGCAGATTGGCAGTTTTCCCTCCTAGTCTATATCAGCACCAGTGTGCTCAGTGGGTGCATCTCCAAACAATGCTACTTCTTTTACCTGGGGCATCCCTGCCTGGAGGAACCTAGGACTGAAGAATAAGGAACTCACTCTCTCTGCAAGTTGCTGGTGGGGGTGAGCAATGGCTGAGGATGCCCTGGGAATAGGATGGGTGGGACTAGGAGTCAACCAGTTTAAGAACTGGCAGCATGGTTGAGGCACAAGATCCAAGAAGGCAATTAAGAGTACAGGATGCTACAGGAAGTATCCAAGACACACTGGTCATGGTCTAAGAAATGGATAAAAACAAAGCGAAACCAGAAGGGGCTGTTAGTATATGAGGAGGTTTAGGGAAATGGGAGATTGAATAGGCAAATCAGTAATGGCCAGTCCACATATATGTGTGTGTGTGTGTGTGTGTGTGTGTGTATGGTAGAACTCTGACCTCATAACCTGCAGCAACGTGCCCAGGAAACCAGCTTCTTATCTATAATAACCAACCCAGGAAGTCCGCCTGCTCTAAGTCAGACTTGTAGGAAGGAGGATTGCTATCTCTAATAATAATCCAGGAAACTAAACAAAAACTTCTGAAATCAAGATAGCCATAACTTAATTAATAACTGCCATCTTCCCTAATTTTTGTCCCTACTTCCAATTTAGAACCAACCAGAGAAAACAAATATGTACCCCTAACCCATCACGTAAGATGCCTGCTTCTAGCTAGCCTGCCTTCAGCTCCCCCAGGCCAACAGCACACACCACTATGAAGCTTTCCCCCTCCGCTGCCTGCCTCTGAGTCTCTGCTAAAACACAGATGACTCAGGCGAACTTCCTTCCATAGCAAGCTCTGAATCCATAGCTCTGTCCTCATGTTCACTTCATTCATTCTCAAATTCTCTTTGTTTACCTCCACAGAATCAAAGACTACTAAAATCAAGATAAAGAGTAGATTCAGGATGAGTGTGAAGCGGGGAGGGAATAGGAAGCTAGTTGGGAATAGAGAAGGGGAATTCTGTATGCTTAGGAAGGGACAGGGAGACGGCTGAGATTTATATATTGCTTGTTATGAGTTTTCTGTGGCTTGGTTGTAGATTTATACAATTTACTGAAGCCTCATAAAACCTTGTGAGAGAGATTTTGTTTAATCTACCATTTTAGGGAAATAAAACTAAAACAGTTTTCATAACCCATCAGGAGTGGAGTGGCATCCAAAGCCAGATTTCCTCTGTGCACTCTGCCAGGCCACTCTCCTAAACCTCCTCTAACTTTCCCACTGCACTTCCGACCACATTCGCCATGACTGTCTCATGAACTATGCTGCGACTCCTTCTTCAGTCTTTTGTTGCTCTGCAAAAAGGTGAATAACATAAATTACATATCTTGCCCAAGATAACACAGTGAGTAAGTGGTAGAATGTAAATTTGAATCCAAGTGTTTCAAATTTTGAAGTCCATGGTCTTTCACTACATTAGGCTACCTGGGAGGTGGAGTAGTTCGCTGGCAGGTGCAAAGGCGAAGTGGGTACTAAATTTATTGACTTGAAATGGTTAAACATAGTTAAGGCTAGAGTACTGAAGATAAATTTTACAGTTACTAACGATGATGGCAAGAGATGGGACTGGTGGTTAGGCCTATTGTTTTTTAGCCACTCGGTCATGTCCAGCTATTTTGGGACCCCATGGACTGTAGCCTGCCAGGCTCTTCTGTCCATGGGATTTCCTAGGCAAGAATACTAGAGTGGATTGCCATTTGATTCTTCAGGGGATCTTCCTGATCCAGGGATCAAACCCACATCTCCTGCCTTGCAGGCGGTTTCTTTACTGCTGAGCCACCATCCCAGCCCAGAGGGTCTGTTAGCCAGGCACAGAAGGAGGGAGGGAGTCCTGGAAGTTAGAAGGTAATGTTGCCTGTAGTGATAAGGAGATAGTGACTGACATAAGAAAAGGTCATCAAATTAAAATGAGAATGATGGATGGTGGGGAAACGGTCTGTCCCACTGGAGACTGGGACGGGATTGGTGTGTAAGAAATTGCAGTTGCCTTGCCTCCACCCTGTGCTCTGGAGAGAGGAGAAAAAGCAGAAGCTTCTTGGGATGAGGACAGGAGGAAGCCAGATATAACTAAGGAAGATATACAAAAGTGACAAGGCTGAGAATGCAGGAGAAAGGAAATACAAGACACAGGAGAAGAGACTGTAGAAGAAAGGAAGACCTGGAAGGGCTGCAAGTTCTGGCAAAAAGTTGCAGGGCTTCGCAGGTGGCCCTACTGGTAAAGAACCTGCCTGCCACTGCAGGAGATATAAGAGGCTTGGCTTCGATACCTGGGTTGGGAAGATCCCCTAGAGAAGGTAATGGCAACCCACTCCAGTATTCTTGCCTGGAGAATCCCATGGACAGAGGAGCCTGCTGGGCTCCAGAGGGTTGAAAAGAATCGAACATGACTGAAGTAATGCACCTAGTGCAACCTAGTGATCAAGGCAATAATTGCAACTACCCAAGGAAAAGAAAGCAGGAAAACGGTTGGTAATTGGAAGAATACATTCTAGATGGGGGGAGAAGCAATACTGAGTCATCAGGATTTAGTTATTGATTAAGATGGAAGAAATAACCAGGTCAAATTCCAATTGTATGAGTTGAAAATTAAAATTAGAATAAATTTTATAATAGATTCCTCCAAGTTAAAATAGGCATAATTTGAAGGCTTCCCCTTTTTTTGTTGTAAAAAAAAACACATACCTGGTAACATTTGTTAAAAGGTCTTGGGTATTTTGTCTTAAGGAAGTCATTACAGTTTGACCTTTACAAAGCTGCCTTCTAGATTCTGGAGTTTGCCATTTAAAGTACTCAGCAGTCTTCATTACAGGTGAGCTGAGAGAGGGGGGCTGAGCCACCCCAGTGAATGAGTGTGAGTCACTGGCCCCCCACCCACAGTATGCTTATATGTGTCATGTAACAGGATTAGCACAAGGTAGTGATGCAGACAGAGTTTTCAGGAGGAAGATAATGATGATCTATTGTTTTTCTATTTCTTTCCTGATAATCCCAATATAATTTTCCTCCCAAATTCAGTCTGGGAAGTAACCATATTTAGGACCACCTATCTAGCATGAAGGAATAACCTAAAATGTATACTGATTTCTCTCTTGTACCCTTGTTCTATACAGTACTGTTGCCTGGTAATTATAATGTATCATGGGTTAAAAAGAACCCCCAATTTCTGTTGTCTTATCCAGATTTTTTTTGTCGGACATTCAACCCTCAAGACAAAATATCTAGGACAAAATCTTACATATACATTACTAGGCTGTGGTTGATTTTAAGCTAGAAAAGAGGGGCACTTTGACTAATGCTTTTCAAAGGAAAAAAATAATATTTAAAATTCATTATAAGCACTAATTCATAATAACCATGTAATTTTATGACCTCACTTCAACTCTGCAGTACACAAACCTAAAAATAAACCTCTTGTTTCTCTGCCCCTTCTTGGTACATTTTTACATCCTCCTACGAACCTCAAAAAACAAAGTAGTACCTAGGGAGGAGTTGGATGAGGAGATTTATGAGGATAAAACCATGCTGTGATGGCTCTGCAGTCAGAAGTGACCCTAGGGAAATGTTATTTAGTGTACCTGAAGAAAAATAATATAGATATGTAACAGTAAAGCTGTTATAATTTCTGGATGAAAAATAAACTTTGTGCTAAACTGGGACAGACTGAGGAGGCACATGTCTTCTCATCGATACACTTATTTATTTGATCCCTAATTTTAAGTTGGAATTTTCCCTGAGATGTGTATTTGACTTCTGATCGACAACAACTGGCATGGTGTCCTCAGTCTGCTGAGGCTTTCATTACTGCCAAACTTATTATGGAACAAATCAAAACCTCGTACACAGAGGTCTCCAGAAATGCCAACTGTTGCAAAATTTCATTTTGTCAACCACACTTCTGTACAGAATATGCCCAAACTGTAAAGTGAATTAAATCATGAGTCATTTTTACTCCCTTAGTCTAAATAAACATAAAATCACCAGTGGACAGCGACTCATGCTTAACCCAATAGGCAGTTAGGTGCTCACGTGTGTTTATGACATTTTTCTCTCACTGTCCAAGACCCCCTCTGACTTTCTCACCCACTCCCTAAAAGAGAATTTTTAAATTTCTGTTTGTTACCTCTTACCGACATTTATTTTGACAATTTTTTTCTGACAGTCCATCTTCATCCTCTCCCATGATATCCACAGCTGAAAATATCAATGCAACGAGAATGGCAAAGCAGCACACCAGCGCAAAGATCACGATGCACTTCTGCTGGGACTGCAAGAGAGAAAGAAGATAAGGAAAAGTAAGTGAAGCAGCTTTGGCTTAGGAACTTCAAGCTGTGACAGCTTTTTTAAAAGTTCCATGCAAAACCCTTTGGGGAAGAGTTAGTTTTGTTACTGCCAGAGAAGCACTACTCTCTGGATGAAATGTCTAAGACCTTTATACTTATTCCTTAACACAGCTTTCAAACCCTTGCTAAATATGTTAGACTCTATTAAATAATTCAGGTGCTACATCAAGATTTCCAAATGAATTTGCTCTTTTTCTTTCTAATCAAAAGTAGTCCAGAAAAGATGACTATAAGACCCATTACTGCAAATTAAAAATGAAACACAAGATGGCTCAATATTATTCTCTGTTCCCTGTTATCACCACTATGCAAACTGCATTTAAACTCTGTATCCTCTTGCTTTTCACATCTCATCTTCCTCTTAAACCTTTATGGTGTGATGACTTCAGGAAAGATGCCCTTGGTGGTCAGGATCAATCTGCACTTTGACCAGAAAACTGCATCTGTCAGATGCCAGCATCATGGGTCATTAAGCAACATCATGCATTTCAAAACACTGAATAAAATCTTAACCAACGTTCATGGTGTTGATAGGATTTTCACTTAGAAACCCAAGCCCAAGTTTCAGGTATTAAAATAAATCATATCCTTATCTTTAGACCCAAGTGTTATAATGTTATCTCTATTTCCAGGGGCTCATGGTCAAAGGTGGCAGAAAATCAGGCTATATAACTAGGCAAAAGCCATGACCACTGGGACAAATAATTTTGCCTACATTCTTTTTATTAGATAAATTGAGATGGGGAGAAGAGAAGAAAGAACAAATTTTAAAAATATTTTTGCAGCTTCTAGGGAGTATTTTCAGAAGGAGCAAGAGTGACCTTTGACCAGGCAGCCAGGAGCACTCTCTTAGCAATGGGACACATATATGCACAGATATGCACGTACATGCACATAGATTTCAGAGCTTTGGCGACACCAGCTGGCTTTGTTTCTTCCTACCACCCTCCTGCCCTTCATCCCTGCAGTCACATGGTCTCCAAAGAATCATGGAATCTTCTAAAGTACAGTGTCCAGTTTGTCCAGGGGCAGCCTCAGGTTACAGATTACACAGAAAGATGTAGTCTGGAAATAATTTTGTTTCTGCGACCAGGCACTATCAGTTCAAATAGTTGTTTCTTTCTAGTGTTTTCTAACCCTCCCTCGGGTCTCATATGACAGAAGAACCTGTTCCAAGTCCATTTGTGCCTGTCATTATGTTCTTCTCCTACTGCACACTCAGGGATACAGTGAGAGAAAACACAAGTAAGATATACCATTGTTCTTTAACCACATGTTCTGGGTATCTCTAGGGCATCTACAAGCAACAAGCCAAGAGCCTAACAAATAGAAGGTGCTCAAGAGGTAGTTATTGTATAAACAAATACAGAGTGGATGAATGAAATGAGAATCACCATGCAAATAGAGAGCAACAAGAGGTATTTCTTCCAGTGACCTTCCTGAAACAAAATTGGTTCATTTCCACATTTTGGTGACTGTAAATCTTGCAGCTCATTCTTTTTCACATTGTTTGGGATCTAGAGGCAAATCTATGGGCCAAGCTTATCAACTCTGCAAAATTCTGCAGAACAGATTATGGATTCATCTTGCTCCTTTACTTGGCATTCATCCTTGAATCTTCACTAATTTTAAAGAACCAGCGCTGTAAACTTGTTGAAGGCTCAGACTTTAGAAAAAGATTGCTCGGGCTCTGCCACTTAATAGTTGTATGCCCTTGGGCAAGTATTTAGTCTTTATGCTTTAGATTCTTTGTCTGTAAAATGGGCATCATAATAACAACTGCCTTATAGGATTGTTATTAAAAATTAAATTAAATAAGATAATTTATGTAAGTACTTAGAACAGTGTCCAAAAAATAAAGAGCACTAAATGAGTGCCATTGTTAGTATACTGTACTATATGAATCTCTGTAAGTTGCCTCAAATATTTTGGGGAAACAAGGTAAAGATACGAATAAACCGAAACATACAACAAAAAATGCAAGTAGGTCTAAAGAAAGGCTGAGAGATAGACAGAGACAGAGAAGAACAGGAAGAAATAAGACAAAAAGAGAGAAAAGAAATGTGAGCTGGAAGTTTTCTAGGATAAAATTAAGAAACTGATCTAGATCAGTATTCATAATTCAAAACTCAGCATTTCTCAAACTTAAGCATGCATCTAAATCACCTGGAGAGCTTATTAAAACATTCATTGATGAGCCCCACTTCCAGAGTTTTTCATTCATTAGGTCTGGGGTGGGGTCCACGAACATGCATTTATAACAATTTCCTATGGGGATGTTGATGACCCCAGCCCAGGTGCCATACTTTGATGTATCAAAGTGTCATCTCTACTAAATGCTGCTTAATATATATTCAGTATTCAAATCCACCTGCCTACAGTATTTTATTTTCAAACATTAAAGGGATCATGATAAATACACCTTACTAATCCAAATGTAAATCTTGTAATTTTTTTTCTTTGTGAAGGTTTAAAAAATTATTTAAACAATAATTTTTTTAACTTTTTGAATAAATTTTCTTCTGCTCTTTACTTGATATTTTAATGATACTCATCATTCATATAATCAGAAAATGTTTGCTGTTAGCTACTTCATATTAAAAAGAAAATAAATCACCAGGGTCCCACTGAGATATAACTGTCATCAACATTTTCTTCTGGTTCTTTCCTATATCACATCTACCTATATAGAAATCTGATAATATTTATAGCATTCTTTATACAGCTTTACATCCTGCTTTTTGTACAACATCATGTTTTACTATATTAAATATTCTTTTAAAACATAGTTTTAAGTTGTGTAGTGTGTCACTGCATGAAAAATAATTCTCTCCTTTGCTCACAAATCTTTCCTTCAAAGCCACTAATTTTATGACAGAAATAAAGATTAAACATTTCCCCCATTTTATTCATTTCTCTATAAATTATAAATAGAAACAAAAAACTTTTAGAGATTTAAAATAATATAATGATATTTACATTAATTTAATACAGAAGAGCCTCTAACCCAGGATAATACAATTAAATATTTTCTCAGAATCCTAGAGACAGCAGCATGTCAGCTATGTAGTGGGTACTGTATGCAGGTCAAGAAGCAACAGTCAGAACCAGACATAGAACAACAAACTGGTACAAAATTCAGAAAAGAGTATATCAAGGCTGTATATTGTCACCCTGCTTATTTAACTTATATGCAGAACACATCATGTGAAATACTGGGTTGGATGAATCATAAGCTGGAATCAAAATTGCTGGGATAAATATCAATAACCTCAGGTATGCAGATGACACCACCCTAATGGCAGAAGGAGAAGAGGAACTAAAGAGCCTTTTGATGAAAGTGAAAGAGGAGAGTGAAAAAGTTGGCTTAAAACTCAGCATTCAAAAAACTAAGATCATGGCATCCAGTCCCATCACTTCATGGCAAACAAATGGGAGGAAATGAAAACAGCAGCAGATTTTATTTTCTTGGGCTTTAAAATCACTACGGACGGTGACTGCACCCATGAAATTAAAAGATGTTTGCTCCTTGGAAGAAAGGCCATGACAAACCTAGACAGCATATTCAAAAGCATAGACATTACTTTGCTAACAAAGGTCCATATAATCAAAGCTATGATTTTTCCAGTGGTCATGTATGGATGTGAGAGTTGGGCCATGAAGAAGACGGAGCACAAAAAAATTAATGCTTTTGAACTGTGGTGTTGGAGAAGACTCTTCAGAGTCCCTTGGACAGTAAGGAGAACAAACCAGTCAATCCTAAAGGAAATCAACCCTGAATATTCATTGCAAGGACTAATGCTGAAGCTCCAATAATTTGGCCACCTAGCCACCTGATGTGAAGAGCCTGCTCATTGGAAAAGACCCTGATGCTGGGAAAGATTGAAGGCAGAAGGAGAAGCAGATGACAGAAGATGAGATGGTTGAATGGCATCACCGACTCAATGGACATGAGTCGGACATCTCCTGAAGCAAACTTCAGGAGATAGTGAAGGACAGGGAAGTCTGGTGTGCTGCAGTTCATGGGGTCACAGAGTTGGACATAACTTAGCAACTGAACAAGAGCAACAAAGTCTTAAATAATCTAAACTTCTATCTTAAGAATGTAGAATTTAAAAAAAAAAAGCAAGATAAACTGAAAATAGAGAAATGGAAATAATACAGACTAGAATTCATTTAAAGAGAAAATAAAAAATACCAAGAAGTTTTAACAATGAAACAAAAGCCTGGTTCTTTTGGAAGATCAACAAAATCGATAAATTTTCAGTTATACATATATGAGAAAAGAAAAGGAGACACAAATTGAAAATAGCTCTATAAAGTAACATAAAATGAACCAAAAAGAAGGTAATATTATGAATAAGTTGAAATTAATCAGTGTAGATAAAATGGACAACTTTTGCAAAATAAAATGACTAAACCTCATTCAACAAGAAACAGGTATACTTAATACCCTTATATCAATTAAAGGAAATGAGTTTTTAAATTTAAAACATTCACACAGAGGAAACTCCAAGTTTAGGTGGTATCATTTTAGAAATCAGTTCAGTTCAGTGTCTCAGTTGTGTCCGACTCTTTGCAACCCCATGGACTGCAGCAGGCCAGGCGTCCCTGTCCATCACCAATCCTGGAGCTTACTCAAACTCATGTCCATTGAGTCAGTGATGCCATCCAACCATCTCATCCCCTGTCATCCCCTTCTCCTCCTGCCTTCAATCTTTCCCAGCATCAGGGCCTTTTCAGTGAGTCAGTTCTTTGCATCAGGTGGCCAAAGTATGGAGTTTCAGCTTCAACATTAGTCCTTCCAATGAATATTCAGGACTGATTTCCTTTAAGATAGACTGATTGGATTTCCTTGCAGTCCAAAGGACTCTCAAGAGTCTTCTCCAACACCACAGTTCAAAAGCATCAATTCTTCGGCTCT